CCTCACATGTGCCGCCCGTGCCATTGTTTACCAGCCAGCCTCCGCGGTAACATCCAAGCATACAATCGGAACATTTCGTATTATTACAGTGTTTTTGGTGATTTTATCTGCAAAATAAGTGACCATGCGCCCCAAGAAAGCTTCTAGTGCCATCCCTACAGGAATAAGGGTGAGAATTACTATAGAGATGAAGAAAGAGATCATTGATAAGTATGAAAGTGGAGTGCGTGTCTCCGAGCGGGCCCCAGGTTGTATAAAAAACCCCAATAAAACCATCCTACTATTGTGGGCAACAAAACGGCAATCAAGGAAGCTGTTCTTGCCAAAGGTCAACTGTGTTTTCGAAACAGAGATCGCAAGTGATGGAAGATGTGAGAGACTCTTATTGGTGTGGATAAATGAAAAACAGATAGCAGGAGATAGCATCCCCTCAAGTGACATAAGTAAAAAAGGCTAGGAATTGCATCAGGATTTAATTAAAAAAAATGCCTGCAACTAGTGATGATGTGAGTGAATTTAAGGCCAGCAAAGGTTGGTTAGAGAGATTTAAGAAGCGTAGTGCATACATAGTGTGATAAGGCATGGCGAGGCTGGGCCCTTCGGACCACAAAGCAGCTGAAAAATATGTGCTGGAATTCAAGGAGTACATAACAGTGAAGGACTGAAACCTGAACAAGTGTTTAATTGTGATGAAACAGGCCTGTTTTGGAAGAAAATGCCAAGCAGGACCTACATTACTCAGGAGGAAAAGGCACTCCCAGACATAAGCCTATGAAAGACAGGCTTACTCTGTTGAAAGTTTCCATGGGTAGTGGTGATTGCAAAGTGAAGCCTTATTTGTGTATCACTCAGAAACTCCTAGAGCGTTCAGGCAAAAGAATATCCTCAAGGCTAATTTGTGTGTGCTGTGGAGGGCAAACAGTAAGGCCATGGTTCACAAGGGACTTTTTCTATGACTGGTTACCCATGGGATTTGCCCCCAATGTGAAAGATTACCAAACTGAAAGAAATTAGACCTTTAAGTGCCCCCTGGTGTTAGACAATGCCCTGGTCATCCTACAGACGTGGCAGAGCGACTAAAGGGACATGAGCTTCATTAAGGTGAAGTTTTGCCTCCTAATACCACCCTCTCCTGCAGCCCATGGACCAGCAGGTTATTGCAAACTTCAAAAAACTGTACACAAAAGCTCTGTTTGAAAAGTGCTTTGTAGTGACCTCAGAAACTCAACTGACTCTAAGAGAGTTTTGGAGAGAGCACTTTAATATCCTCAATTGTGTAAACCCTTTTAGGTAAGGCTTGGGAGGGAGTGACAAGAGGACCCTTTAACTCTGCTTGGAAGAAACTGTGGCCAGAATGTGTAGACCAAAGGGATTTTGAAGGGTTTCAGGCTAACCCTGAGAGGAGTATGTCATTTTAAAGGGAAACCATTGGGGGCATTGGGAAAGTTTCCCTTTGGGGTTGGAGGTTTAGTTTGGGGAGGATGTGGAAGAGTTTGGTGGAGGAGGACAATGAAGAACTAACCACTGATGAGCTGCTAGATCAACTTCAACAGCAAGAGGCCAGACCTGAGGAAACTGGTTCGGAGGAGGGAGAGAGAAATTGAAGAAGTTGCCTACTACAAAGTTTAAGGAAATCTGTGCAATGTGGCTGAAAGTGCAAACCTTTATGGATGAAAATCACCCCTCACACAGCTGTTGCAAGCCGTGCTGGTGACTATTACACTGACAAGGGTTTGAAACACTTTAGGGAAGCAAAAAGGGAACAAGAGGCACAAGCCACTATGGACAGATATGTTGTACACAGAAGTCCAATGACTCTGAAGCTGGTCTAGTGGCATTAAAAGAAGAAGGGAAGTAACCCCAGAAAAGGCCCTTGACACCTCAAGTCTTAATGGAAGGGGATTCCCCCTTCAAAACCCACTAAGACTCCTCCTCCTCCCATCCCATAAACCATCACCAGATCTTCAATAAAGGTAAGTGTCATGTAATTGTGCATGCCTTTTTTCAGTTTGTGTGTATTAAAATTAATATTTCATGTGGTAAAAATGTTTTTTTTTTCATACTTTGGGGAGTCTTGCACGGATTTATTTGATTTCCATTATTTCTTATGGGGAAAATTCATTCGCATAACGATAATTTCGCATAACAATAGCTCTCATGAACGATTAATATCGTTATGCGGGGGTCCACTGTATTTAAAACAAAATGATTTTTTTTTTCCAAAATATTTGGAGCGCTTTAGGTAGTAGGTTGGTAGACAGCAACCACCCAGGGAGGACTACCGTCCTGCCAAGTGAGTGTAAAACGAAAGCCTGTAATTGTTTTACATGATGGTAGGATTGCTGGTGTCCTTTTTTCTGTCTCATGAACATGCAAGATTTCAGGTACGTCTTGCTACTTCTACTTACACTTAGGTCACACTACACATAGATGTACAAGCACATATACACACCCCTCTGGGTTTTCTTCTATTTTCTTTCTAGTTCTTATTTTTGTTTATTTCTTCTTATCTCCATGGGGAAGTGGAATAGAATTCTTCCTCCGTAAACCATGCATGTTGTAAGAGGCGACTAAAATGCCGGGAGCAAGGGGCTAATAATCCCTTCTCCTGTATATATTACTAAATGTAAAAGGAGAAACTTTTGTTTTTCCTTTTGGGCCGCCCCGCCTCTGTGGGATATGGCCAGTGTGTTGAAAGAAGAAGAAAGATTTGGAGCGCTGGGTGAGAGAACGTAGATCTATGTTTGGACAGTGAAGGGGTTAATAATAAAAACTTTATTTCAGCATGATACATGTTTGTACAAATGATTATAATAATTGAGTGTACATGCCAAAACCCCATTATATGCAGAGCATTTTGGGGAAACTTAAGATTAATAAGGCAACAACAGTGCAGTAAATTTGTACATAAGGTCGTTAGGTGAGTTTACGATGTATACAAGAGAACTGAATATTCCATTAGCTCATGCTATATGACTCTAATTTGTTTGGTAGAGAGGAATTACAGTTTTGATTATTAATCTAAGGTAGACACTATGGCATGATTAACATTGGAGAAGATTACAGATATTGAGAGTAAGTATATATTGATTATAATGTTTTACCTATGTTCATGATATTGAGCAAATTCAAGTATAGTTTTTACATATGCATTTATGATGGGCTGGGACAGGTTAAGGAAATAAGGTGTTTTTTAACTGTAGTTTTAAAAATGCTAGTTAAGTCAGTGGTTCTGGAGATTTCTGAAAGAGTTCCAGATTTTGGGCCCTTTCATGTACAGTGAGTTTTTGAAAAGATTTAGCCTGACATGGGGAATGTCAGAGATTTTTTTTGCCTCCATGGATAACATTTTTTGTCTCCACAGATACCTCAAAGCATCACTCACCTTTTTTCCTTCATCATGTCTATGGTTTACCTCATCCTTCATAAACCCATCTGCTGAACACATTCACTTCTTCCATACTCCCTCCCTCCAATGTGATATCCAATTTTTTTTACCTAAATTGTTTGATATTTATGTTCACTTTCAACTTTCTTCCCTTACACACCCTTCCAAACTCATCCACAGCCTTTGCAATTTTTCTGTAGAATCTTCCAAAAGCACAGTATCATCAACAAAAAAGTAACTGTGTCAATTACCATTTTGTATTTGATACCCCACAATTTAATCCCACCCTTCTCCCCAACACCCTAGCATACTTTACTCCTTAAGCCATCCGTGCTGTAAAAGTCAACTAAAATGCCAGGAGCAATGGGGTAGTAACCCCTTTCCTCATACAGCTTACTAAAAATAATAAAAAGAAAACCCATGGAGAATATATACAAAGATCCTCTTTCAACAAACCAGCCGTGTCCCACAGAGGCAGGGTGGCCCAAAAAGAAAGAAAATCCCCAAAAAGAAAACACTTTCATCATCATTCAACACTTTCACCTCACTCACACATAATCATTGTTTTTGCAGAGGTGCTCAGAACACAACAGTTTAGAAGCATATACATATAAAGATACACAACATATCCTTCCAAACTGCCAATATCCTGAACCCCTCCTTTCGAGTGCAGGCACTGTACTTCCCATTTTCAGGACTCAAGTTTGGCTATATAAAAATAACTGGTTTCCCTGAATCCCTTCACTAAATATTACCCTGCTCACACTCCAACAGATCGTCAGGTCCCAAATACCATTCGTCTCCATTCACTCCCATTGAACACGCTCACGCACGCCTGCTGGAAGTCCAAGCTCCTCGCCCACAAAACTTCCCTTACCCTTCCTTCCAACCTTTCGAGGTCAACCCCTACCCCGCCTTCTTTCCCCTAGATTTAAACGCTATCCATGTCATTCTACTTTGATCCATTCTTTCTAAATGACCAAACCATTTCAACAACCCCTCTTCAGCCCTCTGACTAATACTTTCAATAACTTCACACCTTCTCCTAATTTCCACACTCCGAATTTTCTGCATAATATTTACACCACACATTGCCCTTAGACAAGACAACTCCACTGCCTCCAACCGTCTCCTTGCTGCTGCATTCACAACCCAAGCTTCACACCCATATAAAGTACTACTACTATACTTTCATACATTCCCTTCTTTGCCTCCATAGATAATGTTTTTTGTCTCCACGTATACCTCAACGCACCACTCGCCTTTTTTTCCCTCATTAATTCTATGGTTAACCTCATCCTTCATAAATCCATCCGCCCACACGTCAACTCCCAAGTATCTGAAAACATTCACTTCTTCCATACTCCTTCTCTCCAATTTGATATCCAATTTTTCTTTATCTAAATCATTTGATACCCTCATCACCTTACTCTTTTCTATGTTCACTTTCAACTTTCTACCTTTACACACACTCCCAAACTCGTCCACTAACCTTTGCAATTTTTCTTTAAAATCTCCCATAAGTACAGTATAATTATTAAAATGTTTCATGTCATTTCTTTTTGAATTTGTAATTAAAAACAGAAAACAACACTTTGCAACACTTACTTACCTGAACATTATTTTCTGTTATCAAGATAGAGGAAGTGTAAGCATAATCAAGGAGCAGAGCAACCATGCCAGCATCAACACCACTTAGTGTAATATGCTCCTGTTGGGATTCTGCCAAGTTACTTAAAAACATTGCCTGGAAGTAAAGGAAAACATATACACACAAGCTAGTAGCAGCAGTGGTAGCACATAGCAAGAGAACAGATTTTTTTTTTGACCTACTGGTCGACAAATCTACAGTAAAACCTCCCACCCCCGAACTGGACATAACCCCTTTCCTAGGACAAAACCACCTGAAAAAAAAAAAGTGAGACAAGGTATAGTGCCAGACAACACACTCCACCACTCTTCAAAAGCTTAAACTTACTTAACCCTTAAACGGTCCAAACGTATATGTACATTCTCTTGCGTAGCGCCCCAAACGTATATATACATTTTCTTTGTCATTCATTCAACATTGCCACGATAAGCCTGAGTCACCTAGACATGAGAGAATGGGTGTGCGCACTCACTGTGTGCCATATTAAAATAATTGGGGACGCCTGGATACCATATGTTCTTTTTTCCTATAAAAAAAAAAAAAGATTTTTTATTCTCAAAAAGTTTAGGGCACTACGCAAGTGAACGTATATATATGTTTGACCGTTTAAGGGTTAATATACACAATATTAATTCATACTACTGTTTCTACTATATTTATATATACAGTGGAACCTCGGCTTATGAATGCCCCACCATGCAAATTTTTCAGGATATGAACCGTTGTTTGGTTGATTTTTTGCTTCTGTGTATGAACGAAATTTCAGGATATGAACTTTTCCCTCAAGGGAGGTTCCTTATCCTCTTGACTGTCAAAACCCCAAATCCTGAGGAGTCTTCTGGTGTCGAAAAAGTTTTGAGAGAAAAAAAAAAAAGAAATGATAGAGAATCTTTTCCTGATGGTAATGACACTAAAAGAACAAAATTTGGTGGAAAACTTACAGAATTACGCTCTCGCGAAGTTAGTGACCTCGGTGATATTTACGAATCGGTGATTTCGCCCACTTTGAGCCCTATTTTCGGCTAATTCCATTGTTCCAGTCGACCAAACTCATAGCTATTTCTTTAGAACTCCATTTGTTCTATCGACTGAGTACAAAAAACTGCCCATTTACAGATTTCAACTACCCAATAATGTGGTCAGAAATTTGCAATTTGGCCAATTTCACGCAAATTAAAAAATATGCCATTTCAAAATAGGGTTAAGAATGAACAATGTAGACATTCCTGGCTCTAAAATAACATTTTCTTTGTTCATCAGTCACATCTCCAGGCCCCTCTGATATTACTCTTGCTTTCTATTTTGGATTTTTATTCAAACAAAAAATAGAAAATTTACTGTTATGCAGACTACTGCAATATTGTAATAATTGCATAATTAATGTCAACCCATTCATGACTGCATATTATAATGGCTAGCTGGACATTTATTGGACAATGACATCATTTGTTTACTTTTAAACTTTGGCAAAAATCAAACATTTCCCTACTTTGAGCTCCATTTCAAGGTTCTAAATCAAAATCACCTCTATTTCTATAATATGTTTTCCATTCTATCAAATGAGACCAAGAAAACGAGAATACAACCATAAATACTATATGAAAATACACCACAAAGTCGGTGTTTTAATCCAAAAAAACAGTCGGAGCTTTTTTTTTTCTCGTTATGAACTGTGTGCTGCAGGATTTTTTTATATGGTGCACACTGACCACACATACCCATTCTCTCACATGTGGGCCTACCAGCTTTCTCCTGCTTGATTTGAAGCCGCTAGAATTTCTGAGTATGTATATATACGTCAAAAACGGTGGCTCGTAAGACATATATATATGATCGAAACAGTCAAAGGGTTAAATAAATAAAATACGTCAAAGACGGTGGCTCGTAAGACGTATATACATGATCGAAACAGTCAAAGGGTTAAATAAATAAATATTTATTGTGTTCACATATCATAATATAATTGGAGTAAAGAAAGCCACTTTCATGCCGAGGCATTTCGGGCAGACTTAACCTAATACATGTACTAATAGACTACTTAAGTCCAGACAGGTGAAAAGTGTACTAGTAGTGGTTACCAATGTTTTAGCAGCCTTTTGAAGTTTCTCCTGACTGTTATTATTATTACCATTACATTGTATTATTATTATTATTATTATTATGTACATGGTGATGGGCTCTTGATCTAGGGAATTGGATCTGTGCTCCAGTTCCCTAATAATAATATAATAATAATAATAATAATAATAATAATAATAATAATAATAATAAATACATACAAACTAATAATAATAATAATAATAATAATAATAATAATAATAATAAAAATAATAGTAATAATAATATGTAGTCATTTTTAGACATTTTTCATATTTTTCTTTTCATATTTTTGTGCCAAATGCTTCAAAATAGAAATTGGTAACCCTCTCAGTGCCATTCAAAGGCCAAAAGGAAGACGAGGTGTGCTGCTCTGACCCTTGGAATGCGTAATTTGTCTTGTATTGAAACGAAGAAGGAAGCAGCATAGAGTGAGGCAGCTGGCCGCCACCCCCAAACCACCACTGTGGCCACAGTGATCATGTCTTCACCTATATATACATCTGTCTTGACCCCACCTGTGGTTACATACGTAGCAACCTCACCACTAGTCATTGATAAACACAAGCTAGGTGTGGGGTTATGGACTGGGAAGATACCAGAGTGGGAGAGTAAACAGCGGATGCTTTCTGCCGCTGCCGGTGTCGCCCCCCACTTGCTATATTATGGCCTATTTTTATTCATTCTAGAGTATATATCGTGTTTCTATGTTATTAATATTGTTTATGTCATATTAGATGAATTATGATAGATAACTAAGCCATGGAGTTGATATTAGCATTATTTTGTCATGCCTTCTGAGAGGCTGGAACAAATTACAGTGGTCCCTCGTTTTTCGTAATTAATCCATTCCTGGAGCCGTTACTATAAACGAAATTTACGATTTACAAATCAATTTTCCCCATAAGAAATAATGTAAACACAATTAATCCGTTCCTGACACCCAGAAGTATTAAAACAAAAATTTTTTTTACATAAAATGTACATGTAGTACATAAACAATACAATGGGAAATGATGAATGAAACATTAACAGCATAACACTTACCTTTATTGGAGATTCTCCTTAGTGTATGGGAGACTGGAGGAGGAGAGAGAGTGGATTGTTTATAGTTTGGAAGGGGAATCCCCTTCCATCAACACCTCAGGTACCATTTGCTTTTCTGGGGTTGCTTCTCTTCTCTGTTTCTTAATGCCACTAGGACCACCTTGAGAGTCACTGGAGTCCTGTCTCGCAAAATAACTGTGGAGAGAGCTCTGTTTCTGGCGTCTCTTTAACACTTCCCTAAAATGCCCCAAGACTTTATCACTGTACATGTTGACAACCTGGCTTGCAACAATCTTGTTAGGGTGATGTTTTTCCATAAAGCTTTCCATCTTACCGCACATAGTAAAAATCTCTTTAATTTCTGAAGGAGGCACCTTCTTCCATCTCTCTTCCTCCTCCTCTGCAGCAAGATTCTGAGCTGCGATGTGTTGCTCTTCCTGCTGAACTCTTGCAGCTCCTCAGTGGTGAGCTCTTCATTGTGGTCTTCCACCAATTCTTCCACATCCTTCAAACTCACATCCAACCCCATGGAACTCCCCAGTGCCACAATTGATTTTACAACAGACATAGGCTCATTAGGGTCAGTCCCAAATCCGTCAAAATCCCTCTTGTCGACACAATCTGGCCACAATTTTCTCCAGGCAGAGTTCAAAGTCCTGGTAGTCACTCCCTCCCAAGCCATACCTATAAGGGTTATGCAATGGAGGATGCTGAAGTGTTCTCTCCAAAAATCCCTTAGGGTCAAGTGAGTGTCTGTGGTCACAGTCAAGCACCTGTGAAACATTGCTTTTGTGTAGTTTTTTTTTAAAGTTTGCAATAACCTGCTGGTCCATGGGTTGGAGGAGAGGAGTGGTATTCGGGGGCAAGAACTTTACTGTGATGAACCCAAACTCCTCGAAAATTAGGTCATCCAAGTTTGGAGGATGAGCAGGTGAATTCTCCATTACTAGCAGGCACTTGAGATCCAATTTCTTTTCCATGAGATACTACTCCACACTAAGGCCAAACACTTCATTGAACCACTCGACGAAAATTTCCCTCGTGACCCATGCCTTACTATTAGATTTTCAAAACACACACAATTTACTCTTCATAACATTGTTTTTTTCCTGAACACTCTGGGATTTTCAGAATGGTACACTAGTAATGGCTTCACTTTGAAATCCCCCACTAGCATTAGCACAGAACATTAGCATCAGCCTGTCTTTCATAGGCTTGTGTCCTGGCATTGCCTTTTCCTCTTGTGTAATGAAGGTCCTCTTTTGGCATTTTCTTGCAAAAGAGGGCCCGTTTTCGTCACAATTGAACACTTGTTCAGGTTTCAGTCCTTCAGCCTTATGTACTCCTGGAATTCATGCACATATTTTTCAGGCCGCCATGTGGTCCGAACTGGCAGCCTCACCATGCCTTACCACACTGTGTATGCCAGTACGGTTCTTAAATCTCTCAAACCAGCCTTTGCTGGCCTTAAATTCACTCACATCACCACTATTTGCAGGCAATTTCTTTACCAAATCTTCATGCAACTGCCTAGCCTTTTCACAAATAATCGAAGTCATAAGAGTATCTCCTGCTAATTGTTTCTCATTTATCCACACCAATAACTTCTCAACCTCTTCCAGTACTGGTGATCTCATTTTTGTCAGCATAGTTACTCCCTTTGCAACAACAGCGTCCTTTATTTCCTTTTTCTTGGCCACTATGGAACATAACGTTGTGTAGGGTTTCTTATACATCCTGGACAGTTTGGCCACACTTGTACCACTTTCATATTGTTCAATGATGGTTTTCTTAAATTAAATCGTATTTCTCACCCTTCTTTACCACAGGCTTGGCACTAGGAGCTTTCTTTGGAGCCATGGTAGCTTATTTAGTACTTGCAAGTACTAAAATAAATGGAATATTATGAAATATTTCGCTGGAGCACATGAGGGGACCTACGCTCACTGGTAAACAATGCCATACTGGCTGCCGCCCCGGCTCACGCCGTGGGTACGCATCCCAGACAAACTACGACTCGCGAGTTAACCTATGAAAAGCGAGTCCATGTTTATACGAAAATACCCCTATGATTGGCGAAATTTACGATTGCCGGGAACTACGAAAGTGGGGGACCACTGTAATTGCATTTCAGTTAATTTAAATGAGGAAAATTGACTCAGCATACGAACAAATCAGAATACGAACAAGGTCACGGAATGGATTAAATTCGTAAACCGAGGTCCCACTGTATCTATATTTTTCTTCTTCTTTCAACAAACTGGCTACATCCCACCTAGGCAGGGTGGTCCAAAAAGAAAAACGAAAGTTTCTCTTTTTAACTTTAGTAATGTATACAGAAGGGGTTACTAGCCTCTTGCTCCCTGCATTTTAGTCACCTCTTACGACATGCATGGCTTACGTAGGAGGAATTCTGTGCCACTTCCCCATGGAAATAAATAAGGACAAGAACTAGTAAGAAAAACAGAAGAAAACCCTGAGGGGTGTGTATATATATGCTTGTACATGTATGTGTAGTGACCCAAGTGTAAATAGATGTAGCAAGACGTACCTGAAACCTTGCATGTTTATGAGACAGAAAAAAGATACCAGCAATCCTACCATCATGTAAAACAGGCTTCCGTTTTACACTCACTTGGCAGGACCGTAGTACCTCCCTGGGCGGTTGCTGCCTACCAACCTTCTACTTTGGATATCTATATGTATCTACACCTATATCCATCTATCCATAAGAAACAATAAATTTGAATATAAACTTTTCCTTGATAGCTGCAACAGAACATACATGGATAATACAAGACACAAACACCTCTTTGACATCCCCTGCAACTGACTCAACTGTGAAAACACTCAATGTGCATAAAAGGCAGGAACTCCCTGCCTGAAGCATCAACATGTCCCTTATCTGTCAACTGATTTTAGGCTATTGTTAAAAAGCACTTCATCTCCTTAATGTAACATAGACAGCGATACACTAAGTCAAACTGCCAGCTTCCTGCCCCTGTTCTCCTTCAGCCTTCCTTAAACTCCCATGAATAATTGGTAACATATCTTGTCCCATTTTATTTATATTGTAATCAAAGTAACTTGATATATCTTCATCATCTCTATTCAATCACTCCACTAAACTGAAGATCACTGAAACAGTTTAAATAATATGCAATTCTTTTGTAAATTTGCCCTTGTGTCATTAGCTACCTTTTCTTGCACTAATGATTGTAGCTAATTGCACAAGAAGTCCTACTTAATATGCTATGTATAGTTCTTTAGTAGTATGTAAGACATAAGTATTTACCCAGAATGTATTGCATAATTAATGGCTTTCTTTTGTGCCTACTACTGTATTAATACATTTAAACTACATTATTTGTATGGCTTAAAGAAATAAACATGTGTTACAAAATGCGACATCTATAAAGACACCTCCAGAGAATACTAAGTCAACTTAATGACCCCCCCTCTAGCATCTAGCCTGTTTCTTGGTTTGCAACAGGTTCTCGGATTGCATCCTAGTCCAGTTATCCTGTAAAATTAGGTGGCTTCTCAATAGTCCTTTTGGATTATAACTGGATGATAAGGATATAAGCTCCTACACAACTCTTGGGTATAACTTGGTATACTACTACTTCTTTCAACAAATAGGTCATATTCCACTGAGGCAGGGTGGCTCAAAAAGAAAAATGAAAGTTTCTCTTTTGAAATTTAGTAATACAGTAGTACCTCGGGATAGGAACAGCTCAAAACTCGGGGTCTGAAACGGACCCCGAATTTGTTCCTTATGAGAATAAATTCGTTTGGTATTGGCACTCGAACAGCCTTCTGGGACGAATTAAGTTCATATCCCATGGTATCACAGTATATACAGGAGAAGGGGTTAATAGCCCCTTACTCCTGGCATTTTAGCCACCTCTTATGACAAGCATGGCTTATGGAAGAATAATTCTGTTCCACTTCCCCCATGAAGAATCATAATTCTTCTGTACATATAATCATATGGTGCTAAGGGTACATGTAATAAGATACTGTGCTACTGTTAGTAAGTACCATCTGGTACATTTCTATGATGAGATGTACTCAAAAGTAAAAGAGTAATGTTGTACTACCTAGTTGAGGTTGCAGGGGTCGACTCCAAGGTCCTGGCCCCGCCTCTTCACTGGTCACTACTAGGTCACTCTCCCTGAACTGTGAGCTTTATCATACCTCTGCTTAAAGCTATGTATGGAACCTGCTTCCACTACATCGCTTCCCAAACTATTCCACTTCCTGACTACTCTGTGGCTGAAGAAATACTTCCTAACATCCCTGTCATTCATCTGTGTCTTCAACTTCCAACTGTGTCCTCTTGTTACTGTGTCCAATCTCTGGAACATCCTTTGTCCACCTTGTCAATTCCTCTCAGTATTTTGTATGTCGTTATCATGTCCCCCCTATGTGTATGTGTGCAAGTGTTCAGTATGTGCTCAGTAATGCTCAATATGGGCTGAGATTTAAAATATGACTAACAACAAGGAAATCAAACAGTTTGTCTGAACAATAAGATGACCCATTCGCCAAACAGCAATAATACTTGAAGCAGCCTAGAACAGCACAGCATCAGGCAAGAAAAAAGAAGACAAAATGACCCTAACTGGGGGACCATCAGCAAATCCTCCCTGAAGACATAAAACTCCCTTATTACTGAAACTGAGTTCAGCAATTCCAATTTCAACAGTGCATAGATGCCAAAAAATGCAGTTCAAGAGTTGAACTCAGGACCAAAGGTCATCTCTCAGAAAAATATCAAATATCACTAAGTCTAGATAATGCCCTGTGAACAGAGTTGCACAAAGTTGCAAGATGTATGTCCCGGCTCACCATGAATTTGGGGGGACTACTGTATATACACATTCCTCTGGGAATTCTTCTATTTTCTTACTAGTTCTTGTTCTTGTTTATTTCCTCTTATCTCCATGGGGACATGGAACAGAATTCTTCCTCTGTAAGCCATGTGTGTGTAGTAAGAGGCAACTAACATGCTGGGAGCAAGGGGCTAGTAATTCCTTCTCCTGCATACATTACTAAAATTGAAAAGAGAGACTTTCGTTTTCCTTTTTGGGCCACCATGCCTCGGTGGGATACGGCTGGTTTGTTGAAAGAAAGTAGTATTATCAAAAACAAACTGTAAAAATAACTTTGTGCATCGGCATGTTTTTCTTGCTGACAAGTCTTAACTAAATCTACTGATGAAGAGAATAATAAAGTGTTGTACATAAGTACAATGCTTTATTACAATATGAATTTTTTTTTTAACATTCCAGCTGTCTCCCACTGAGGTAGGGTGATCCAAGAAAGAAGATAACACTTTCACTGTCACTCATTCATTGTCTTGCCAGAAGGGCACCGACATCCTTCAACCAGCAACATCCCCACCCCACTGGTTTCCCTGAATTCCTTCATAAATGTTTCCTTGCTCACACTTTAACCACATGTCAAATCATAAAAAAACATTTGCATCCACTCCTAACATGCTCGCACAAGCCAGTTGGGTGTATGTATGCATAAATAAACATTTCATCTTTGAAAAAAAGTAAAAATTGTTTATCTTTCTGAGACTGTCGAAAGACTTTTTCTGCTAATAACATACTGTTTGTGCTATAAGATTTTATTTTAAAAAATAAAATTTGAAAATTCTAGCAGAGATGTATTTCAGTTAACCAAACACTAACAAAAGTAAGTAAACAAAGTAGCTGTTACAAGGGTGCTTTTGCACATTCTGCTTACCCGAAAGTATGAACTAAATGATGCTAATACAGATTTATGTACAGGAAAAGTCATTCCATCTACACACAAGGTCACATCACAAAAGTGTCCACTTTTTCGTAGTTCATTGAGGCCAGACAGTACCTGAAACAAAATAATAAAATCTATATTAAAACTTTACTTATAGAAAAATTTATAGACAAATGGTTCAGAAAACCGACAAGTTGATGAATTAAGATACATGTGCAACACTTGGGTATCTTCAGTGAGGAAACGTTTCACCACAGTGGCTTCATTAGTCCTAAACAAAGAAGAATGGTGAAGATCAGAAGGAGTTTGAGGTAATCAGTCCCTCAGCCTGGGGTCGATGTAATCAATTCATCAATCTTGAAAAGAATACAGCATAGGCACGGAGAAGTGGCTTATAAACGGTAGACAGGTGAGGTGAAGCAGGTGTAGGTGATATCACAGTGGACAAATCCACATGTGGAAGTAGGTCATGCCTATGGGTTAGGCAAATGAAGAATTCCCTGTATCGAGATCCAAGATGTTACTGATGAAGCCACTGTGTGGCAAATTTTTTCCTCAATAAAGATACCTAAGTGTTGCACATGTATGTAATTCATCAACTTGTCAGTTTTTTGAACCATTTATCTACATTTCTGTCAGACACAGCAACATCTTGGGATCTTGATACAGGGAATTCTTCACTTGCCTAACCTATAGGTATGACCTACTTCCACATATGAATCTGTCCACTGTGATATCACCTACAACTGCTTCACCTTACCTGTCTTCAGTATATAAGTCACTTACTTCTTCATGCCTATGTTGTATTCTTTTCAAGATTAATTAACTGATTACCAGGCTGAGGGACTGATTACCTCAAGCTCCTTCTGATCTTCACCATTCTTCTTTGTTTAGTACTGATGAAGCCAGTGTATGGTGAAATGCTTCTTCAATAAACATACCCAAGTGTTGCACATGTAGTTTATCAGGAAAAATTTAAGAGTTATTTTCACAAGGTAAGACAAACATCTTGTAGGGGTGAGGAAATCAGATGTAACTGTGGGGAAAGTGTAAGGTGGTTGGTAAAATAAAAAAAGGGGTAAAGCAGTTAGAATCGATGTGATAAAAAAATTTAAAAAGCAGGTGGGGATAGATGAGTGACAGTGATAGTGTTTTTATCTTCGTCAGGTCACTCTACCTCAGTGGGAAACTGACAGTGTTAAACAGAATAAAACAAACTTTTTGTTGCATTTATGGATTTAGAAAAGGCACATGGTAAGGTGGATAGGAGAGCAATATGGGAGAGGTTGCAAATATAGAGAGTAGGTAGTAGGTTACTAAAAGCAGTAGAGTTTTTATGTGGATAGTAAGGAGCAAGGGGCTAGTAACCCCTTCTCCTGTATAAATTACTAAATTTAAAAAGAAAAACTTTTTTGTTTTTCTTTTTAGGTCACCCCTGCCTTGGTTGGATACAGCCGGTATTTAAAAAAAAAAAAAGTAAGGTTCTGGTTAGGGAATGTAGGAGAGGGGGAGATTATTTTCCAGTAAAAGTAGGCCTTAGAAAAGGATGAGTGATGTCACCATGGTTGTTTAATAGATTTATAGATGGGTTGTAAAATAAGCAAATGCTAGGGTGTTTGTTAGTTACCAGTGTTGGATAAAAATATAATGAATTAGATACAAAGTGGGAGTTGATTATAGTAGCTGCTCTTTGCTGGGAGTATCTGAAAAGAAGTTACAAGGTTAATAGAGGAATTTGGGAGGGTATGCAAAAGAAGGAAATTAAAAGTGAACATAGAAAAGAGGAAGGTGAAAAGAGTAACAAAAAATCTAGGCAATGAAAAATTGGAAAGTAAATTGGAGGAAGGAATTATGGAGGCTGCTCACTTAGTGCTCCCAATTAACATCAAACCTCTCATACAGTATTATAAAATGGAAAGTAATGAGAAAAAATATGAGTTATTACAACAGAAGGCCTGGGCATCATCTCAGCTGCTAAACAAGTGCAGAGGGTAACAAATGGTGATTAACCCTTTCAGGGTCCGTCCCGTAGATCTACAGCTTTATGTTCAGGGTCCAAACCATAGATCTATGCCATGAGCTCAGCTCACTCTGATAAACTGTGAGTGGTACATTTGGGCCTAGATATGAGAGAATACATCTATGTGGCATGTGTGCACCACATAAAACAAATCCTGCAACACACTGTGTATAACGAGAAAAAAAACCAAGACCATGATTTTCGATTAAAACAGCGACTTTGCAGTGTTTTTTTATGTTTTTTATAGTTGTATTTGCGATTTCTTGGTCTCATTTGATAGAATGGAAGACATATTACAGAAATAGAGATGATTTTGATTGGTTTTAGCACTGGAAATGGCTTGAAACTGAGCTCAAAGTAGCGTAAATGTTAAATTTTTGCCGATGTTGAACATCGGCAACCTCACACGTCTAATACACGCCAGCTGGCGGGTCTAATATACATTCACAAATGTGGTGATGATATTTATACAATTATTACAATATTGCATAACAGTAAATCTTCTATTTTTTGGTGTGAATAAAAATTCATTATGTGAATAAAAAATCAAAATGGAATTTATTTGTAAAGCCTCAAAACATAACTAATGAACAGAGGAAATGTTAGTTTAGTGCCAGGAATACCTACATTGTTTATTCTGGATCCTATTTTGAAATTGGAGTGTTTTGAACTTTGTGTTAAATTGGCCAAATTACCAATTTCTGATCACTTTATTTTGTAGTTGAAACAGTTGACTTGGTGATTTCTTGTGCTCAATCGATAGAATGGAAGTAATACTAGTGAAACAGCTAAGAATTTGGTCGACTGGAATAATGTAATTGGCCTAAAATGGGAGTCAAAGTCGGCAAAATCGCCGATTCGTAAACATCGCTGACACATCAAAATTCGTGAGAGCATAATTTCGTCAATTTTCCATCAAATTTCGTACTTTTTGTTTTATTACCTTCACAAAAAGATTCTCTATCATTTCATAAGAAAAATTTTTTTTTTTTTTTGAAAATTCTTGGACACTGGGGCACCACTGCAGATTTTGGCCTTGGACCCTGAAGGGGTTAATAGTAACAAGTAACAAGTCCTCCATAAAACAAAAATCTGTATGACAGATTGTGGGAATACAGAACAAAGTCTGTTGTTACAGAAATATCCGTTATTGTTACAAATGTGACAGAACATACTGTTCTCTATCACCCACAATTGCCATTATAACCCACCTACTTTCCCTTTGGTTAGCAAAACAAATTCTAAATAAATTTTCTAGCTACTCATGTGTGTGTCTTTCTTACATAAAGCACATTCAGAAATGTAGGCACTGTTTAAGATAAATTACACAAAAAGCACAGTGAAGAAACTTTCCACTTGCATAATCATTGTTAAATACTGTAATGTGCATGGCCTAAATAAGCCATGAAGTGCATACAAAACACTGAATATGAGGTTACCAAAACAATATGACTGAACAGTAATACAGATATAATCATCCCCCCAATGACAAGCAGGGGTGCCATGAGTACACTAAGAGGCAACACAATAAGTGTCAGGAGCCCAAGACTTAAACTGGCTCCCAGCATACATAAAGGGGGGAGGGGGATTACCAATAGAGGGAGCTGGACAGGTGCCTAAAGTCAGTACCTGACCAGCCAGGCTGGCAGTAATAGCCTGGTTGATCAGGACCTGATCCACCTTGAAGCCTGATCATGGACTGGTCTGTGAGGGGTGACCCCCCAGAACACCATCCAGGTATACTCCAGGTAATTACTGTAGAGGAGGGCCCAACATAAAAAGGGAGTCTTATTCTCAGCAGTACAACTTACGAGTTGTTTGTAACCCTGAACCTATTATTCTATTGTAAAAAACAGTCCAAACTGTAGTTATGCCACACATGTTCATAACTGATGATTATTCCTAACAAATTTGTTCCCAATACATTATTTTGGACCAAAATTGTAAGTGAGAGTCATTGTAACTCGGAGGCTTGTAAGTCAAAACCCCACAAATATATCTGTAAATACTCACAACCTCAGGATGAGCAGAGTTGACAAATTTACAGTCCTCACTAGGGGATGATGCCTGGGACTCAGAGCCCTCTCCTCCTCCTCCTCCTCCACCCCGTAGTGAACCTGTGTCCCTACGTGACATTTTCTTCTTTACTTCTCATTCACTTGAAATTCATGTTCATTATGGTCTGTAAATAAATTAATTCTTGTCGAATGAAAATTTATAATACTTGTCTCTGAATAAACAGCAGAATCCATAATTATCCACAAAAACAATACAGGCTGAGTATCCCTTTTCTGAAATTCCGAAATTCAAAAAAGTCGAAATATTTTTGAGCGCTGTCATAACACCACAGGTGGAAAATTATAGTCTGCTCTAGGGAGATTCCCAGGCATTGAGCAAATTTGTGTGTGCCCAGACAGTAGCAACACGACCTTACATACCCTGGGTGGGGCTCTAACCCTCTGTTGGCACCCGTTTATCAACAATCATTACTGCCAGACCCACATGCTTATTCTCTGCTCTGTGCTGCAAAGATATTGTTGAAAATGTCAAAAAGGCCTGCAGATACTTCTATGAGTAACAGTGATAAGAAAAAGTAGTGTACAGTAGCCTTTTAATCAAAACATGGCATCGTAGGTGGTGAGCGAAAGCCTGCTATTGTTTGTTGTTACTTTTTAACAGCTAATGCAGGTATTCTGCCAATGCTTCTGTGTTGCTTTTATTAAAAATTGTGCATAAAACTACCTTCAGGCAATGCAAATAAGCTGTATTTGAAATATAAATGGATGTCGTGTTTAGAGTTGGATCTCATCCCCAAGCTATCTCATTATATTCCAAAATCCGAGACATTTATGGCCCCCATGCATTGTGGATAAGGGATACTCAACCTATAATAATAATAATTCGGAACAGGATGGCACTAAAATTTTTGCAGAGACCAATATCAATACTCAATTTTATGCTGATACTGATATTTGTTCAATATTTTAGTTTTAAAATTATAACTATGCTTAATATATAAAGAAATGCTTATTGTATTAAATAACCCAAGGGGATTAAATATTAAATAACTTAATTTCTCTGAGCAGCCAGTGTCACTACTCATTAGTAATTACAAGCAATCTCATGACTCTTACAAGCTGAAAATAGAAAACATCAAACTTCTGAAGCTATCTTCATACTTGCATACCTTTGATATACCTTTGCTGAGTTCCAAGATTTTTTTTGTTATTTATTAATCTAAAGACATACACAGAATTCAATTAACTCAATAAAAGTATTACAGTGGATCCCCGGTTAACGAACTTTTTTCATTCCAGTAGTATGTTCAGGTGCCAGTACTGACCGAATTTTTTCCCATAAGGAATATTGTGAAGTAGATTAGTCAATTTCAGACCCCCAAATATACACGTACAAACGCACTTACATAAATACACTTACAAAATTTGGTCGTTTTGGAGGTGATTTTTATGCGGGGGTCCATGTATATTTATTTTTGTTTTAAAGGTCTATAAATGGTTTTAAATAGGAAAGAGAGAAAAAATTGAAAATTTAAATATTTTCAAAAAAAAGTTATAACTGTCTATTTTTTTTAAAGGGCGAGGGGATTTTGTTACGAAATTAAAATCACTCATTATTTTTCAATTAAAGGCCCCTTGGCACAATTTTATGAAGACACAATACCAAAAAAAAAAAGAAAAAAGTTCACTAAAGATTTTTTCTGGCGGGTTTTGGTTTTAAAGGACAGTGAAAAAAAGAGGCCGTGGCCTGGTAGGAAAGCTCTCAATCACACAACTGGGGTTTTCGGGGTTTCGTTTCCCGCAAGGGGGGAAATTTTTGGGCTTTTTTCCCTTAACCTATTGTCCATGTTCCCCCAAAGTAAAAGGGGATTTGGGGTGTAAGTTGACTGGTGTTTACCTGGAGGGGGTTTCGGGGGTCAACGCCCCAGGGCCCCGGGCCCCTGATCCGGTGGATCGGGGTTGTTTAAAACGGGCTGTTATCTGGCCGACACAAGCTGACTACAAACCCACACCCCGGTTGGTCGGTACTGACTTTAGGGCCTGCCCAATCCCTCTTGAAGAAAGCCGGGATTTTTGGTAATCCCCCTTATGTATGTGGGAGGAAATTGAACAGTTTTGGGGCCCCCGGGAACTCATTGTGTTGTCTCTAAGTCTTGTGGCCCCCTGCTTTTACGGGGAAATGTTGCATCCCGCCGTGTCTTTTGCTTTCATGGGAGTGATTTTTCGTGTGCAGGTTTTGGTACCAAACCCCCCAGGGCCTTCCCAAATGTATTTATCATGTTCTCTCTCACCTGCGTTTGAGGGAAAACGATCAGGACCCTTTAAAAAGTTCCGGTTTGTTTGGTGCCTTACGTGTGGGTTGCATCCTGGGACAAAATTGACCTAATTTGCCCAAAATGCTCGCCCCAACAAAGGGTATTATGTACTAGTTGTCATTTGGTGTCAAATGGCCTGTATACCTTTAATACACTTGTGGAAATAAAGATATTATCATGTATAAAAAAAGGGATTGAGCTCATGCCCTTTGGGTTTGGGAGCTCCCCAGCCCAAAACACCCAGGGTTCTGGATCAGTCCTGGACAGGGTTGGTTAGGTAAGGTTTTTCAGGAACAGGACAAGTGTTTTCCCCGACGTGGTCTTTGCATGTGGGACCCCCACTGGACTTTTGGTTATCTACTGAGGCCTTTTGCTGGATACCGTTTACCTGGAGTTTTCTTGGAGAGGGCTTGGGGGGGCAATGTCCTGTGGCTCGGTCTGGACCGGCCTCATGGGGGATCGGGTTGATCAACCCGGCTGTTACTGCTGGCCGCACCTAAGTGCCTGGGGGAACAGAGGTGAAATGGGATGTTTCCTGGGGACAAAAGGGGGAATTAGATGCTTTTTGGGGACGTAATTTAAGCTGGAGATTTTTCCGGTAGTAATTTTACCGAAGGAAAACATTTAAATGACCGCATAGGGGGAAGGAGCCTGTGGGGAAACGTTGTCAAAAAGATAAAAAACCCAAAATTTTAACCCGAAAACCGGGAAAATAGCAAACAAAGGTCCATAGCAATAGGGGGAAATTCCAAAAAAAAATGGTTATCATTTTTTTGGGGGTAGAAGTAAAAGGAAATTAAATAAAAAAAATCAAACCCCAACAAACAAACCAACCCTTCCCCCAAATATATTTTATTTGGATGGGAAACGGAAAAAAAGATGGGGGGAAAAAGAATAGGAAAGATTTATTCAAAGGGGAAAATGAAAATTCCGTAAGTTTTTAGGAAAGTGTAAATTTTTAGGAAAAATGGTAAAAAATTGAGGTAATCTAAAAAGGGGCAAAAAGGGTTTACAAAACTCCGGGGGAGGGGGGGAAAGGTTTGCCACGCCATAGGGGAAGGTTTTTTAGTGCAGGAAAGGGAAAAAAACGGGCCCGGGAAATGGCAAAAATCGTACCCCAAATCCGTCTTTTCCTGGAGAAAAACCCCAACATTTCGGGGGCCTCCACCCCAAACCAACGATCGTACTAATCCCGGAAAAAAAACCCCCCCCCCATTTACCAACAATACCCCCAAAGTCCGAAAAAAATTCTTTTTTGCAAATATACGGGTCAAAAGCCAGCAACAAAAAAACAAATACCTTTCATCGTGGATTTTTCTTGCAGGGGGAAAAGGGCCCCAAGTTCCCCGGCTTTCACGGGAGCCCCAACTTTAAAGGAATCACTTGGAAAACAAATATGGACCCCAGGTTACACCTATAAGATGTGACAGGTGAACGGGGAAAAAAAGGGGGGGGGGTTGGCCTGTACATTGCGGGTTTCATTTGGTTTGCACAGAACTGCAAAATTTGCCTAAAATGATGTAGTGGAATTTTTTAGGTAAAGGTCGAAAACCCAAAAAACCTAGTCATTGTGATATTTCCCCAAGCCTCCGGAAATGCAACATCCCAGCAATTCCAGGAACAGCTGTTAAAAATTGGGCCACTGGGCTGGAAAAACCCTTTCCGCTCCTGCAAAACCCAAAAACTTGCTCCCGGGGGGTTTTAACTTAAGGCACCTAAAAGGGGAAAAGCAAATAATATTTTTGCGTAATAACACCAGGAGGCAGCTCTGATGAAAAAATCCACTCACGCGAGCTTTTAAATTTTCTGCACAAAAAATTTAATTTTAAAACCCGCCCAAAAAAAGAGCCCCACTAGACTGGAGAATACACTGACCTTTTCTTCACTAAAAAATGATGATCTGTAAAAAAATATCACCTTTCAAAAACAATATTTCTCGATCACCAAAAATAATTGAGGTTCATCATGTATGCGCGGGCCCGGACCCACATAATGAGATTAGCACGAGGGGGCATTCACCCCAAAAACAACTTCAATAACCAAAAAATAAAAGTGGGCCAAAATAAACCAAGTCCTAAACCCATAAAAGCTTTGGGGGGGATTAAATAAGCAAAACAGACCCCAACTTTTGCCTAGAAAAAAGGGTTATTGGTAGCACTCGATGTATGCCCAAAGGGGGGGGGGTTTTTCTCTAAGAAAAAGGAGGGGGTAGATGAAAAAAAAAGAGACAGGCGCTTTCCCTTTTTCAGGCGACGGAAAAAAAAATAACGAGCGTAAAAGAGGTCCAAAATATCTGGGAAAAGCGTGGGAGACAATGGTCAGAGAAATAGCAAGCATCGAAAACTTAAACTAAAAAAATCCTTTAAAGTAGGAATCCGGGGGAAAAACTAAAAGCCCTAAATGAAAAACGAAAAAAACCCAAAAATAATTTTTCCCTTATGCCAAAACAAAAAACGGGGGAACAACGGGCCCCGTATTGGCCCCCCCACTTAAAAAAAGATGGGTCCTACAAGATGACAACAAAGGGAAAAGAGTGAGGGTACTCAAGTCCCTTTTGACTCAGTTTTTGCAAGCCGCTAACCCGATGGAAATCGAAGATCAAAATTTAATTTTTTTTGAGAAAAGCCCCAAAATTTTATTAAAACCCCAAGCTATCGGTGTTATCCCGACGCCAAATGACTTGGACAGGCGATAAAGGGGCATCCCCCGCACTCTGCCCCCGGGCCAGACTCAAAGGAAAAAACCCGTGTTCTTTAAGAACTGCAAAAAAGCCCCTTCACGAGCCTTTTCCTCTATGGGAGGGGGGGCATTTGGGCACGGGGGTCGTCCACGTTACTAAAAAAAAAAAGCATAGGGCCCCAAATCCACAAAGGGGGCAGTAAAGCAAAGCAAAGAAAATACCAAAACCAATGCACTTAAAATCCCCTATCATAAAAAAACTTTTTAAAGGGGCCCAAGAAGCAAAAATCACCACGCATCTAGAAAAACCCCTCGTTTTCAAACCCAGGGGAAAATTGGGTTTAGAAAAAGGTCGCTCCTGTCTGTTTTCCCAAATATTGGACCCCTTTCGAAAAAAAAAAAAAGGTCCTAAAAGCACTAGAAGACAAAAAGAAAGCAGATGTAAAAATTTTTCAGGGCTTTGGCCCAAAAACCCTTTGACAAGTGTGACCCTGGCGTAAAAAAGCGCCCCAAAAAGCGTGCTAAAGGAAAAACGGGGAAAAGTCGGTCGTGGTTCTATAATTTCCTCACTAACAGAAAAAAGAGATTTGTCTTTCAACAGATTTAAAGCCCGGGGCAGCTACGGTAAAAAAGCTTTTTCCCACAAGGCACATTATCGCCCCCCCAAATTTTGGGTTTTTCATCCTTATACCGGGCATAAAAAGGATGCCCGCACAGAAACCGTGTTTCCTTTGCAGGGGACCCCCCGGAATCTGCTTTACAGGGGGCTTCCATTGCAGCCCACTGAAAAGCCCAGGCAGACATAAACCCAAAATCTTTCAGTGGGCTGCAGAAAAAAATTATGAAGTTAAACGTTTAAAAAAATTTCCCAATTACTAAAGATAGGGTTTAAAACATGGGGAAAATTTTAAAAATTTTTTTAAAAAATCGGGTTTCAAAAAAAATTTTGGGCCACCAAAAATAGGCGAAACACAACTTTCAAAGCCCTGGGAGTGATCATGCGGGGGATCTCCCTTAAAGGGGGACCATAACACTGTACCCAAATCGCATCTGCTAAAAAAAATGACAGGATGGTTTAAGGGAAAACCCTTCAAAAAGGGGGGCCCCAACCCCATGTGCCCACTCTTCAGGTCATTTGGGTTCAATCTAGGCTGGAATATTGCTGCACACTAAAAGCACCTTTCAAGGCAGGTGAAATTGGGCCCACCTAGAAAAAAGTACAGGAACTTTCAGGCAGCATAAAGGAGATAAAACACCTTATTAAAATTGGGGGAGCGGCCTTTGGGGTTCCTAAAACCGTATTCCCCGGAAGAGGAGGGAGAGATTTCATGATTAATACACCTGGAAAAATCCTAGAGGGACTAGTACGAACTTGCACACGAAAATCACCCACTACGAAAGCAAAAGACTTGGGCAGACGATGAAACCATCCCCCAAGAAAAGCAGGGGTGTCACTAGCATGTTAAGAGACCATACAATAAGTGTCAGGGGCCCGAGACTGTTCAACTGCCTCCCAGCACAAAAAAAAGGGGGGATTACCAACAGCCCCCTGGCAGTCTTCAAGCTGGCACTGGACAAGCACCTAAAGTCAGTTCCAGATCAGCCGGGCTGTGGCTCGTATGTTGGTTTGCATGCAGCCAGCAGCAACAGCCTGGTTGATCAGGCTCTGATCCACCAGGGGGCCTGGTCTCAGACCGGGCCGCGGGGGCGTTGACCCCCGGAACTCTCTCCAGGTAAACTCCAGGTAAACATACGAACCACAGCCCAGGTGAAATGTTTGGGCATGTTTCCAAGGACCCCAATGGAAGTAAGTCACTTTGACTTTTCTTTGGGTTATTCTAGGTAATTTACACATATGCTGCTATGTATGATAATTCACGTAACTGTATTTTTGTATACCTGTACCTGAATAAACTTATTTACCTGTTACCCTGTTCACTTAGCATTAAGTAGGAACCTAGGTGTTAGCCAACTGTTGTGGGTTGCATCCTGGGGAACCAGATTAATCTACAATGCCTGAAATTCTCTGTATAACCAGGGGTTTTCTATATACGTAGTATGCCTATGTCAACTAGGTCTCCATTAGTCGAATCATGTAAACTTGTCAAAGTAAAGATGGTTAATACATGTAAACTTGTCAGAGTAAAGATGGTTAATATTATTTATTACTCATTTTATTCTTATTCACATTCAAACTCAAATTCATATCCATATTATTATTATAATAAATATATGGGATTAGAGAAAAAAAGCAGAAACAAAAAGTACAGGAGGAAGAATAATGAATGGCTGATAGTCCACATGGTGGCACAAATACTATAGATAAGGCAAGGATTGATTAGTGAGTGGTACAATGTAAGTAGTGTTAACACGACTGAGGTACACAGTAATGTATCTTGGAGGGATGTCTATTGTTGTTTTAGAGACTTAGAGATTTAGATTTTGCCCCCTTTAAGTGGCTAGTTTATTGTGCCCCCCATATCCATCCTGTTGAGGGTAAGCACGAGAGCATATGGATACACAAAAGGCCCAGGAACTGGGCCCCCAAGGGGTTTAACATGAATACATATGGATTTATATCTACATATCTATAGTTCACTTATCTGTTACAAGCAAATTTGGGAAAATTTTGCTTAGTTTTATCTGGTTTTCTTATTTTCATAAAAAGATATTTTGACATGTCACATAAGTTATTATACTGTCTGTCTCTGTATTCCTCAATAAGTGGACAATTAAGCACATAGTGTTAAAGACAGTGACCAAATTGCCTGATCTCTTGTGTTGGGTGTGGGTATTTTATTTCAAGTGGCAGTCAAGATGTAGACCAAAGAATTCAACCCGGTGTGTCTTACAGTGGGAGAACCACTAATTATTATGTTTAGTTGGATTTCTGAAGCTGTTTCCAATTATCACGTAGAAGATTTGGTCAATATTTTTTAAATATTATAGATGAATTTGTTGGTAAATAAGTTAACCATCGACGTAAATATTTTTAGTTCGTCATAAATAACAAAAAAGTCGAATGAAAAAAAAATGTAAAGTACCAGGCTCATATTAAAATTTAATACTCTTATCAAGAAGACAGAACTGGTGGGCAGTCTCAAAGTCAGATTTTATGTACCTGCTCCACTGTACTTGGGCCAATACTATACGTTTACCTTTCCTTGTCTCAATTTTGGTATACAGATCAACAACTGCAAATCATCTTAAAATAAGCATCGAGCAATAAAAGGCAAACCAACAACAGTAGTATACCCGCATTACAACAACAGACAACAAATACTGTTCAAGCTTTCAATCGACTAAAATACAAACCATTCGTCTTCTTGGGTTTATAAGACCCACTAGCGCTTATGCAATATCCAGCCCGGTTTCAGGTGTCAGGGAAAGAAATTTCTTCTTACGGAAAAACATATGTTAGTGGGTTCAATCAACATATTCCTGAGCAATGCATGGAAAAATCTTAATAAAATAATTGAAGAAATTTTTTAAACACGTTGCATACCCAAATGGAAATAAGTCGCTATGTCTGACTTTTTTTTGGGGTTTTCCTAGGTTTTCTACACATATTGTGGAAAATTGCATTTATCTGAATGTAACTAATTATGTACATAACAGTAAATGATAACAAAGAATAATTATTATTTATCAATGTTACATTGACAAGTAGGAATTTGGGGACCCCTAGGTCGAAAAAAAAAAGGCCCCCCCTTCGAAAACCCCTCCCTGTCATAACCACAATTTGGCTCTGGCCCTTTATTTTTTAAATAAAATTTTTACATACACCAGGGTTCTTGAAAATAAAAAAAAATTTGTGGACTGTATTTTAAAAAATTAAAAATGGTTATATATTTACACAATTACATAACGGGAAAGGGAAAATATATCTTAAATCATTCCCCAAATTTTGGGACTGGAGATTAATGTGTTTCATACTCAAAAAAACCTCACTTCTAATAAATCTATGAAAATAATGCTGGCCAAAATTTTACACAAAAAATTTCTAGAGACCCTTATCTGGGTTTCCTGGAGGGTCTTGTCCGGGCCCCTGATATCTAAATTTTGGGCGGGAAATTGAAAAAATCCCCCAAATTTCCCCTCCTTTTGAGAGGTGTCAGACAATTTTAACCTTTTAGAGCACAAAAAATTCTTCCCCTTTTCACCAACGTTTTTTAATAAAAATTTCCAAAACCAAGATGGCCGTCTCGTCTGTGCAGCCCCAGGCTTTCGTTTTTTATGACATAAATATTATTAAATACAGTAGGGCCCAATCTTTTTTACATATAAATATGAATTTCTGGAAAATTATACGGATTTTCACACGGGGCCGGGCCCCGGAGTTTGTTGCTAAACGTTTTTAAATTCCCCTTTTCCTTTTAAAGGAAAACTTTCCCAGCCGTTCTGGCTTGAGGGGCTGTTCCCCTAGTAGGTCTTACTACGTTTTTCACTTCCCGGCATATTTGGCCCGGTTTATTTCCCATATACTCGTGTCATTTTCCCCTAAAGATTTTCATTTCTTTTGGTTTGGGAAAACCAAATTCCCAAGGGAATAAATTTTTTAATTGTGGAAACTTTCCTGGCCACGACACAACATTTTAAAACTTTTCCGGGCAACCCTTGTGCATCTGGGTAAAATGTCAAACTTTGCCAGAGGGCCCCCAATTTTCGTTGTTTTTTTCAGTGTAAAATTAACACAATGTCCCCTTTTTTGAATGGTCTTCGCACCTAAAAAGTTTTCCCACTTTGGGGTAAAAGATTTTCCCTTTAAATTGGGGCCAAACATTAGCCCAATGAAAAAATTTACTTTTTTTAACATTTTAAACTTTTAAACCCCAAACTGCTGCATCTTTGGTAATTTCATCAATTTTTTCCCGGAAATTATCTCTATAGGGGGTTGTTTAGTTTAATTTTTTTATTATGCACCCAACCCATCCTGTGGGCGGTAGTCAAAAGGTTACAGAGGGTTACAAAATTGGCCCCGGGAAATGGCTCCAAAGTTTTGATGCTGAGAAAGTTACAGGGGGGAAATAAAATTCACAATTTACAAAGGTAATGAACTCACAATTTACAACGGTAATGAACCCCATTTTGGGCAATTTAACAATCATGAAAAGTTAAAAAGGGTATTTAAAGTTTTTAAAGAGGTAGTAAGGGGTCCAGGGACTGGGCTCCCAAAGTTGTGATGGTGAATGGGTTTTAAAGGGTAAATGAACTCACAAGTTACAAAGGTAATGAATCTGTAAAAAAGGGTTACTTAGTTTATACAGGGGTACAATCATGAAAAAAATTTTAAAAAATTTTAAAATTTTTTTAAAAATGAAGGCAATTCACACTTCCACCCCCCGGTCAAAAACTGTAGTGATTTATTGGGGCAAATTTTGGGATTGTTGGACAAAACCTCACACCCCACACACACACACACACACCACACACCCACACCCCACACACAAACACAACACACCACACCCCCACACACACATAAAAAATTCATAAACACAACAAACATTTAAACACACACCCCCCACACACACGCAAAACACACCACAAAACTTAAAAAAATCATAAACACGCACACACACTCATACACACACACACACACCCCACACTCATACACACAAAACCACTCATAACACACAACCACTCATATACATCTTTACACTTTCCCCACACGCACACAAAAAACACACACAAAAACCCAAAAACACAAACACAAAAAACACACACCACAAAACACCCCAACACACACACACAACACAACACAACACCCCACACACACCCCACGGGAACGGGTCTATATTTTTTTAAGACGGGGTTTTTGTTTTGAGCTCATGGGCAGGGAGAGAGAGGCCCTTTATTTGGGAAAATCGCGAAGGGGGGGGGCCAGGGGGTTGCGACTGGGACCCCTCCCAACCAAAAAATAGGTGGTACAAAAGGAAATTTGGACTGACCCCGGGCAATCTCAATGGTGAGGACACACACACCACACACTTGCACACATGTGGTAATGCTTTATTTCCCCTAGCAAATTTCGGGGATTATTTCTCCAGAAGGGTTTGGAAAATATCCCATGTGGAAAAGGAAAAGAAAAGTTTTTTCGTTCGGATTTTTAAACCCCAAAGGGTTAGCCCCCCAGGATAACCAAGAAAGTCAGTGGTCATCGAGGATTTCAAACTTTTTTCCATGGGGGGGCCCTTTAATCTTGCCCCCAAGGAGGCCCCACCCAGTCGACTAACACCCAGGTACTATTTGTTTGCTAGGGGAACGGGACAACGGGGTTTTAAGGAAACACGTGTCGAAATGTTTCCCCCCGGGGAATCAAACCCCGAGCTTTGGGCCACCGGCCCCCGGGCCATTTTTTGGGAAACATTTATGAGCGGGGAAGTTTTTTCAAAAATTAATTTTTTTTTATCACACTCCAGTACTAATGCGCAGGGTGACAATGCCCTTCTGGAAATTTTTTTACTTTTTCGTTTGGTCTAATCTGGTGGGGGTAAATTTAACCTCCCAAAAGGGTACTTGAAACCTACCCGGGGAGCCGGGCAGTTGTGGACATCCAAGAGCCCTGCTTTTTTTTGTTGGATGCACCATAGACATGGGCTCCCCCTGCATGTTTGAATGATGATAGATGGGCTCATGGTGTCAACCCCCTGAGTTTTAAGTCCATAAATTCATTTTGAAGTTCTTTCTTTTTTTATTTTTTCTAAAAATTTACTACCTGAAAAGCCAAGATTGTAATCTACCCCTCTTTGAAAGCATACAGCTTACCCCAAATTTATCAGTTCATCATGATTGAAGCCCCCAATTGAGTGGAACCCAACAGCAGTGAACTCGGGACCCCACTGTCCACAATCCTACCATCCCTGTGTCTGGTTTTCTGACCCCAAAGCTTTGAAACAATTTATGCTTAATGAGTTGGGGAGATTTAGGGAAAGGGACGAGAATCAGTTACATTAAACGGCAATCTTTGTTTAATAGAGGGCATTTCTTTTGAAAGGGAAAGTATGGCAAACAGTTTGCCCTAAAGGGGGTTAGGGGGCCCCAATTATTGATGCGTGCCCCAAAAATTTTTTTAAAGGGGACCCATCACTCTGTACGACAACAGCAGCACTACAGCTGCCCCGGGTGGTTTGGGTGAACAGAACCATCGCAAAAAATAATTTGCGAGAGTGTGTGCTGTGTGACAAAGTTACCCAATGCAGTTTTTAAGGCCTCTTGTTTGCTTCAAGGCGAAGTTTTGGTTGTGTTTTTAAGATGTTTTGGGGGGGAAAAAGGAGGAATGGTGTTTGGAATGGGGTAATATTCATGGAGCGGGGAAGGGCCGCTGTTTCCTTTTTTTTTACCCTAGTTATGTATCTGATTCATGCGGAGGTTTGGTTCCCAATTTTTTTGATCCATTGGAGGAGTGTTTTCCCCGTTTCTGAGGAAAATTTGGAGGGCTTTTGTGAAGGGGGTTTTTTAATGAGCCCTTGGGCCCGAGCATATTAACCCCAATTAGGATTTTTTTTTTTCAGTAAAAACGATCTCTGAAAGCTTGGAATATTTAAGTTCTTTTTGCCAAAATTTTAAAAATTTTGGGAGTACAGGGATCCCAAAATGGAAACCTTTATTGCTTCGTTGGGAGTTTTTTCCAGCCCCCCAAACTTTTTCCCGTCGACACAAAAAGGGAAGTAGTTTGGGGCAGAAAAATCAACAAAAGATCTAATAATAAGCAAGTACAAACATTTTCACAATTTTAAAAATTTGCACCATACCCGGGGTGGGAAAACCCTGCCACAACTCTAAGTGCTTTGTCGTTCTTTTTATTGGCGACAAAGGGCTTGTTTCAAAAAGGTCCCAAATAGTGGAACCCCTTTAAAACCCAGATACCTGTATCTGCCCTTTAAAATTCTAGAAGAGGGCCCTTCATGCAATTGGATCTGACGAACTGTGCCTCTCTGTCGGGGGGACGCCCATTTTAGTTTCTTTGTTTTTTCAGTAGAGTTATCCCCCAAGGGGCCCCGGGCACGAGGCTAGGCCTTGGGTTAAAAAAATTTTTTGGGTGTTGGGAACCGGTGGTGTGAATTCCCTTTTATCAGGGAAAAAAAAATCACATAATGAAAGGGCTGAATAGGCAAACATTAAAATTTTGCATTTAAATTTGAATTTCTGAACAGTGTGGGACTGAGCCCCACCCCTGTGGGGTTCCTAATTTAAAGTCTTTAGTTACCCCTTCTATGTCCCTGGGGAAAAAAACAGGGGCGATTTTTGTTGGGGAAAGGGGGGCCCTTTTAAACCGCGGGAAGCCCCT